TTATATATTCATTCGTTTTATAACTAATTACAAATCACATAAATTAATAAATATCGGTCAAGATGTTTTACCCTTTGTATTCATCTATCTAAGTTAATTACCTAAGTTATAATTAAGTATATAAGTAATTTCACACACACAAACACACACACACACACATACACTATATTGTAATTGATGATCAATCACATACATTACTACATACGAAAACTTTATCAATTGCTGAATTGATAAACCAATATTATTCTATTTTAAATATGATTAGTCGATTGTTATATTTTAATGCTAATAACTTCTTTCGTTTCTTTAATTTGTGATCCATATATACATGTCAAAGATANTAAATATGATTAGTCGATTGTTATATTAACTTGTTTACTTAATGCTAATAACTTCTTTCGTTTCTTTAATTTGTGATCCATATATACATGTCAAAGATGTTTAGTATTAATTCTCCTACATTTCATTCATTCATCACTAATAATGCATGACATAGATTAATCGATATAGGTCGAGATATTTTGTTTTTAATATTCATTGATATAGGTCGAGGCATTTTATTTTTAATATTCATCGATGCATCTAAGTAAGCTATAAGTCGATGAATCAATTTACAAATAGATATATTTGATGATGATCAATTATATATACTAATTAAATTATTCCTTCTTCACAAGTCTATCCCAAAAGAACCCGACCTTGTGGCCCTAGCGCTTCGTGTTCCACTACAAAAAAAAATAGCGATTAGCGAAAGACGTATTTCGTTGCTACACATGTTATTTCCGTCGCTATTCAAGTTGGTCTCTAAAATGCTCGTAGCTAAGCTCATAGCGACGAAAAATACAAACCTTCGCAGATCTAGCGACGGATTAGCGACGGAAATATATCTGTAGCAACGTTTAGCTACCGAAAAACCGTCGCTATTTTGCTTGGTTTCATCGCTATTTTGACTAATTTTGTCGCTACAATTCATAATAAAATACGTTGTTTGTTCTGATTAGCAACGAAAGAATCCGTCGCTAGTTCTTCCTCCTTTTCGCGATAAAAATCTTTTGTCGCCAATCCATCCCAAGATTTAATTATATGCATTAATTTTAGCTACAAAAAATATCTGTTGCTAAATATTTTTAAATTTTTAATTTATTTATTATTTTAAATGTACCATGTTCAAGCATATTACAAAAAAGCTATTAAATACACTTAATTAAAAGTGACTGATATTAATATAAATTAATATTCAACAAGGTCCAAAATATATATCATAATGCATATAACTGTATCGTTAAGTACAAAACATCCACAAGCACCAACAATAAAGTCTAAACAAAATAGGCTAACTATGCGAGGCTGGAGAGTCATGGTCATCATCAGAACCCAATGCATGAACCTCATCAATGTTAGTAGCAGTAGAAGAGGTAGGAACTGTAGGTACCACATCTGATGGGTGGTTGGTAAGATCAATATTTGGCTGATGCGAGGGTAAAAAAACTAATTCGCGTACCCGCTCAACGATTAGTACAGGAATCAATCGTGTCACTAACTCATCCAGATTCCCTATCAGTGTTGATTGAGCATTTGAAAGTGCTGCTGAGAAAGTTGCATCAGATCCAAAAGAGTCACGAAGATTCGGCCCGTAGTAGCATTTTGCTTGAGATCCAAGACCATATACTCTTCTTTTCTTTTCTCCTCCCGCAGCTTCGTAATATGCTTTACACTGATCAATATCATATTGACTTTGTGTTTGTTGTTGTAATATTTCCTGATACTTTTCCTGTAGAAGAGTTAATAGTTAGTGAAATTGAAACATTAAAACATATTGAGTATGCAATTTACAAAATGAAAAAAGATATGAAAGTAAAGTCAATAAAACTATTTAAAAAGTTGACTTACATGTACGATTCGGGATTTCTCACCAACAAAAGATTTTCCATCATTACTATGTGTATGGATATGCAAATGTTTCTCACTTGGTGTTGGATCTCGACCCTTTTTAATAGCCTATACAAAATATATTAAATTCAAAAGATTGGCAAAAAAATATTTGTATAAAAATGAGATTGAAATATAACATAGAGAAAAGGAAGCAACTTAAGTAGAACAGAG